GTAACATTGTGAATAGTCAAACAAATGAAGAAAGGTTCATATTACATGTAATATCACCGTCCAAGAGGACCAATAACAGCACTCTCATTCAAACCACGCATGGCACTCTTATTATAGCCAGACATACAGAAAACAAATTTCTTTCCCAAAATAAGGGCAATAGTAATCAACAAGTGCCCCCTCTAATCTTGCACAGTGACAGTATATTTTGGCATTTTAACTTGTTTTAATATCAACAACCCCTTGTCTGTCCAAAAACGAGTAAGGATAGATCCTCCGAAAATTAGAGATGGTAAAATTTGACATGACTCGTCAACACGATTCGAACACAACACGAGATAAACAAGTTTGAGTTTACCTTAAATGAGTTTGGATCATAAACGGGTCGTCATGATTAACCCATTTAATTAATAGTGTCGTGTTAGGGTTAAGGAATTCAACACCTGTAATCTGTTTAGACCCGTTTACCTAAGAGTTTTATAATCATATTAATATCACACGTGTAACTCGTTACCTGTTTAAACTCAATTACTATAGATAATTAGGTCATTTCAACATAAGCAACAAAAATATACATTACCTCTTTAATTAATGCATATTTTTTTATAGTATTTATTATTTGATTGAGTATTATAAATAATTTAAATAATATAATGTTCGATTTTGGTAAATAGGTCTATAAACAAGTTAACATGTCTAACCCGTTTAATAAACAGGTCGGGTTAGTGTTAAAGGTTCCCGTCACCATTATTAAATGGGTTGGGTTAGTGTTGACCTCAGAATACCCTTAGATTGATACGACACGATTATGACACGTGAACACGAATTGTCACGTACTCCTACCGAAAATAAAAAACTGAACGCTAGACGAAACATTTAATGTTTATTTGTCCTCACTAGTGATAATATACACCGTCCTCACCGTTGATTATGAGTAATAATAAATGGAGACATCCTCTATAATTACCAAATTATAGATGATGGGCATATGTACTCACTTACTAAATCAGATATGGAGGGTGCATCACCGTTTTTGATTTGGTAATAAAATAAAACATGTCTATTTTTTATTGGTGTAACATAAACAATAAAAACGTTGTACATTCTTACTGATGAGAACTTAAGTATCAAACCGAATTAAATAAAATCTTATTCAGACTATTTGGATTAAATACCTTAATCTTGTAAATTCATAAAACTGCAAAAGATAAAAATATAGTAAAAATGAAGGATTTTCATTTGTACGTAAAGGCATATTAACAACTGTTAACAAGTCAAAAGATCAAATACCAAGCGACTTTTCTTGGTTTGCCTTTGGAACCTAAAATAGAAAAAGTTTACTCTGGTGGTCCCACAAATCACATTCATTGAACCCTAGTGATGCATCACATTCACATTCATTAAAATTTATTGTCACAACTCACAACCAATGACTTCTACCGCACGTGCTTTTTTTAACTCTCGTTTTTTCCCCATTTGTCTTGTTTTGAGTCTTGTTTCACTTGTTGATTTCCGTAGTTAAAGTATATAAAAATAGTAATAATTATGATTATAATAATTTTAAGAAAAAAACAAATTGATAAAATTTTAATACTCAGTTTGAGTGTTGTGAATTTGTAATAAGCTTGTTATTAATCAATACCCATATATGCTTACCCTTTTTCCAAAATAATAATAACAATAACAATAATAATAATAATAATAAAAAATTAGATCACTACTCATATAAATTTTACAAATGTCAGGGTGTATTATTAAAACCAATGTTGTTTTTTTTTTTTATTTTTTTTTTATATATATTATGTGTCAAGTATTGAAAGAATGTAAATATGGAGAGACAGGAATAGAAGAAAGTTAATATAAGAGATTAAAATGTGAAAAAACAAAAGACAGTGGTAAAAAAAAAAAAAAGGTTAACAAAGGTGAAATAAAATCTGTTGTAATTCACCAGTGGACCATTAGTCAAACTGGTATAACCTCTCCTTTCTCAAATGCTCTATTTTTAGTTTTTATTTTTTTGTTAACAACTCAAATGCTCCATTTTTTTGTTATATGAAAATAAAATGAAATTTTCAAATGCTCCATTTTTTGTTATATGAAAATAAAATGAAAATTTTCTCAACACTTTATAGGTTTGTTTAGCAAGAAAACTGAAATCACCACCTATTTTTTTTGTAAATTTATCTAATTTTTCATAAATTTTTCCTTACAAAAAATACAACAAAATTTTGATTTCTTGAATAAATTTTATGATATTCAAATAATAAAATGACAATTTTTTAATAATTATTCCCTCTGTACCAAAATTCTTGGAGTTTTAGGGAAAATTAACTTTTTATGGTAGTGGGTTTTAATATATTTTTATTATATTGATAAGAGTGAATTTTAAAATTTATGAGTATTTTGTAATTAGTGCACTTGTTTAATCAAATAAATGTCAAGAAAATAGTTTGGGAATGTTATAAAAAATAATTCATTCATTTTTTTTTTTTTTTTGAATGAAAGATGTATTTTATGACATTACAAAATAAAAAGATGAATAAGAATTTTGGGACTATCTATTATTGTAAGTCTGGTATTAATGTTAGATTTGCCACTCTCTTTTTTCTTTTTTTATTTTCTTTTTAAAAAATTAAAATAAAAATTCCTTCTTTAGGCAAAGTGGTAGTAGTTAGCTTTCTCCCTCAAGCAAACATTTTTTTGGAGTGGTTCCAAGTGCAAACTTGTAATTTAGTCTTTAAAAAATTGTGTCATTGAGCATGTGCATTTTCTCTACCGAATTTTTTCTTTTTCGGATTCTCTACCTAATTATGGAACATCATTTATATATACAATTGGCAAGACTTTTTATGGGAAAAAATAAAAAATGATTTGAGTAGTCAAAGCTACTATATAAAGTGGACGGAAAGAACAGCAGCCCCAAATCTTTAAATGCCGCATGAGACCAACTGCATAAAGATGGGCACTCACACTTTCTATCCGCCATCTCCGTGTAATTTTGATTAATTTGGGAACGGAAATAATTTTAGAGTCCTCTTATTTTGACTCCATAAATAACAATTTATTATTTTACGGAGTCTATGTAATTATTCATGAGTCAAATATAATGGAATATATTTTAAAATATAAGGTAATTAATTCTATTTGGGTTGTAATATTTTTTTTTCTAAGTTTATCTCGAGTATTCATTAAAGTTTCAGTCACTATGTATACGAATATTTGTTTTATATTTTAAATTGTATCTCTGTAAGGACCATTGAAATACTTCATATTATGTTTTTGATCATTAATATCTATCTAGTACTTTGATATGCGTTGTTAATTGCTATAATGATCAAAGCTAAATGATTTATCTAACTCTCAAAAACAAAAAACAAGAAAAATAATTTAAAAAAAATGTAGAAGTATGAAAAAATTATAAAACATTACAGTTTTTGCTCCAGATTTTGTACAAATCAAATTATTAAATTTGAGTACTTTGAAACTTATTGTGAAAAATAAAAAGAAGATGATATGGTTATGAAAAACTAAAAAGATAATTTAGGAAAAAAAGAAACACTAAAAAGATAAAGGAAAGAGAAATGGAGTATTAAATTATTAAATTTGAGTACAAGAATAGTAATGATGCCTATTTAAGTTGAAATTTTGAATAACCACATCATATTTTTATGTTTGTTAATTTTAAAATGGATATTAAAGTTATCAATAATATCATTTTTTATAATTTTAATTCCGAGCAGTAATTGTTGTGAGTTGTCAAATTTATTATTTTTAATTTATGTAAAAAATAAGATTTTAAAATTCTTTACTTATTTATATTTTATATAAATTATTAATCAAAATCATAATTCACTGCAACTATGGGATATTATTTAATCTCCCTCTCCAAATAACTCTTGGGAATCACCCTCTCCAAATGGATACTCCGTATAAAATAAATAATAGGGAGTAATAAAATAACTAATTTAGACTGGTTCAAAAAAGTATTAACAAATTGTCCCAATGTCACATGTCACCACAATGACGTGATACTAATCAATACAAAATGAATTTCTCATTGTAAAATATATATATATATATATATATATATATATATATATATGTATATAATATCCAATTAAATTGCATCATGTGGCTTACATTCTCTTGGTCACCGAAACTTGAAATAATTTATTCATTCAATTTTTAAGCCTCACATACATGATACATCCTCTCCTACTTACCAACAGATATAGATGTTCATACGTTACAATGAGCTCGACCTCATGGTGGTTGTCATAGACGCATAAGCTCTCTATCTTTTTATGGTGATTATATATATATATATATATATAGAGGGGTACGTAACTAGTGTCCGAATATTCGGTCGTAAATTTGGTGCTATTGTAAAAAGTGTACAAATGTAAGATGCTCCCATTTATAACATTTTCTTTTACCCAATGCAATAATGCACTCATTGTGGTCAGGTAACTTTGCCATCTAAAAAGAAGACTCGATTTTGGGTCGGAGTTTTGGCGCAAAAATGATTTAAGAATTGGGTCTAATTCTGATATCAATTATAATGGATGGACAATTGATTATTCATTTAAAAGTTTAAACTGTGATACAGTGTTTCATATCCACCCATTTGTACACATTTCAATTCCCATCTGAGTATAATGTATAACAAATTTTACTTGCAACAACAAATTACTGACGTAAAGAATCACTACCATTTGGGCTCATCTAACAATTTAAAAATGAATAGTTAAAAAGTTATATATTAAAATTTCGTACCAAAATTGATTTAAAACGAATCAAACTCTTATATAATTTTGCTGTTGATTTCATTTAATAAAATTAAACTTGAAGTTTACTTGAATAGGCTTACGTGGTGATGTAATTGTGCATTACTGTGTTTTTTTTAATGTAAATTTAAAGGCGAGCTCATGAAAACTGTCACGGGTCGACCATATACTAACATTACTCTATTGCCACAGCACTACAAGAAACCGGGAAATTCCTCCATTTTTTCTGTAGCTCAACATCCAAACATCTCTCACTTTCTCTCTCGAGAATTCTCTCTCTCTACAGACACTAAATTTGTTGCTGAATAGTAGGGAGCAGTAATGGCAGTGAATGGGTTGTTGTGGGCATCAATGGATGAGTTCTTGAAGCAGTGTGAGCAGTCCGGTGACTCTGCGTACGCTGCTTTCAGATCACTGCTCGAGAGGCTCGAGGACCCGATCACCCGAGTCCAAGCTCGGATCTTCTTGTCTGATCTCCAGAAACGGTTCGATTCCAAGGAAGCCTCTGAGCAATGCCTCCAGACCTTCCATTTCCGAATCCAAGACATCTATATTGAGCAATATGAAGGTTTATTCTCTCCCTCTCATCCAATTCTCAGTAATATTTTCTCTATAATAAATTATCTTTCTCTTTATATATATATATGCGCACATGTGTGTACTACAATGATACAATGAAACTTGTTTTTTTGTTCATGAATTTAGAATTGGGACATTTGTTCTGGTTTTGGGTGCTAAATAATAATCTGAATATATATATATATATATATATATATATATATACACACACACACACACCATGGATTTAGAATTGGGACAATTGTTCTGCAATTGGGTGCTAAACAGTAATGCAAGTTCAAATTTTGGAAAATGACATAAGACCTATATAAAAATGGTTATAACTTAAAATGATGAGTGGGTTATTGTACTACTTTAGGAAACTTCATCAATTTCAAGTCAAATTTCCAACAACTGTTAAGTTATCTTTTTCAGTCAAACTTTCAAGAACTCTTTATCTTTTCAAGTTGAGTTTTTCAAGAACTCTTATGTTTACACTTGATTACCCTATTTCAAGTCTAATCAAGAACGAACTCTCAAGTTCACACATGCACGTACGTCTACTGAGGCATAGATCTTATCACACATTTATATGGTCTTATCTTTTCAAGGCAACATTTAATCCCTTTGGTTTCCCCCAAAATTTTCTTTGCCATATTCGTAATATAACTTGTCATTTCCTTCCACGGGTTATTTTGTTTATCATTCCAATGGACCAATTCCATTGTTGTGATTCTTTGGAGGCCATTGTCCTTGATCTCGATGAATATGACTTAGACATTGAGCTTGATTTCGAATTAACGGGCCTTGACTATGATGACAGGCTTCGTTGCAATGGTAAAGCTGTTAGCACAGTGAAAATAACACTGGCATGTCATCTAGAAGAGAGGGATGGGAATAAGGGTTAAAGAATTGTTATGATGATATTGAAAATCAGAGGCCAGGGAAACTGTAAGCAGTTGATGAATGTGGTACAATCTTTAAAGTGCAGATAATTTGTTTGATTGCCTCGTGTTGGTTATTTGTTTTTAGTGCTCTAGAGAATGAGATTTTCTTTGAAATGAGTTTAGTTTCTGCTCTAATTATCTTGCAGTTAGACCAAATAAGGCAGAACTGAGATTCTGAGTTTATGGGGATACTTTGTCTTTGAAACTTATCCTATGCTATTCAGGAGAAAAAAAACATAATAAAAAAATTATCCTATGCTTTTGGAATTCCTTTAGAGCATCCCTTCTAAAGTCTCACATTGCCACATCGCAAAAGTTTTGCAATGTAAACCCCTCTACCATATTGAAGATATCAAAGATGATTTGCCTTAGGAGATGCATCTTTAAACCACAAATTCTGCCTAAAGCAAACTTTTTGACTGCCAGGCATTGAGACACATACTTCAAAAATCATCCCAATCCTAATAGCCTTGAAGTTTGACCACCACTACTGCATATGGCCTTCACACCTCTTTAGAAATACAACCTTTTCCTCCCTCGCCATGGTCACAAGTGACCAATTGTCTCTACATGTTATCCCCCCTGAACCATATCCCTGAACCATTTTCCTTTCAAAGCTTAATTCAATTTTTGGACTAACTCGAGTCCCCAACATCAAAAGGAGAATACATTATGCCCTGCCCACCATGAAAAGTTAACCACACTCCCTTGTGCACCGAATCCTTGAAGCTTCCCTAAACAATCAGTCACCAAAATCAAAGTAGGAAAAATGGACACGAAATACATTTGCTAGATAGAGACAATGAGTGCCACTCTTCTACCTTTTGATAATTATTTCTTGATTTCTTCTTCCAACCTGCAAATCTCGTCTGGTTATCCAACTGAATTCTGATCTGCTTTAAATATAAAGGCCAACCCCAAAGGCAAAAATAGATGAGAGGATCAAAGAGAACCCACAGTGTAGTTGTAACAGATTCTTAGAAACCATCAACATCCTCAATCCTGGAATCAACTAATCCTTATCCCATGTTTACTTTCAACCCCTAAAACAGTCTAGCACATATGATGTCCTCAATGGTATCTCGATATCTCCTTGAAAGCCCTTTAAAAAAAAAAAACACTTCTGCTTATTGACATTGCCAGACTGCCTCTATTACTTAGGACCAAAGTGCGGGTCCCTCAGCAGACCTCCTGCTAGAGCTCTGCAAAGCATCATGATAAAAGAGTTGTATAACGAAGTCCCCTTGAACTACTGAAAAACCTTAGAGCATCCATTAACAGACACTTAAAAACTTATTGGTGAACTCTAACATCCACCTCTCCCATCTCCCCTTCGCCCCCCTTGAGTACAAAAAAGAGTACAACCCATGATTTACAGAAAGAGATCCAATTGACCGTGGATTATAAATTTTCTCAATGAGCGGATACTCTGCTTTACCCTGAATTCCAAGCTTTAATTTGGTCGCCATGACCACATTTGGAGTTGCATGCACACCATCTGCACCATCCTTTTCATCTCTGGACTGATATCTTTGCCAACAACTTATGAACACCTCTCCCTAGACTTATCAACCAGCAAATCCACAGGCACCTCTTTTTTTTTGGGGAAGCAGCTAATAGAAGAAGTTTTAAACTCCTTCCGCATTTCTTTGTTTTTTGAAAATGGTAGCACATCATCAAATTCTCAAGTCCGTGGTTGTATATTCATTTAATTTCGAAATTGAGATCAAGCTATTCCTACCACATAAACATGTTTTTTTAGTTGCTTCTTTTTCCCTGCAAGCAATAGCGGGTTTGAAAGCTGTTTTAGAGCATTACAAGTATTAAAATGTTCCTTTTAATGTGCTTCTCATATCAGCTGCATGGAAAATTTTCTTTGCCCATTTCAGGTTACCAGAGAAGGAAGAAATTGACAATGATGGTGATTCCTAGCATTTTTATCCCAGAGGACTGGTCCTTCACTTTTTATGAGGGACTGAATAGGCATCCGGACTCTATTTTCAAGGACAAAACAGTTACTGAACTTGGTTGTGGAAATGGATGGATATCCATTGCCATTGCTGAGAAGTGGTTGCCTTTGAAGGTTTATGGTTCTTATCCTCCCAACGTAGAAATTGATGATGCTTAAATGATTCTTCCCATGCAAGTGTCTTTTTTTTATAATAGAAGTAACAAAATTTATGGAACAGAGTGGCAATTTATTGCATCTAATTATTTAACGGGAAAACAAAATTTATTGCATCTAATCTTTAATGAAAATTAGATTTAATTTTTTAAACTGTTGATCAATTTTTTTACTGTCTACTTTGGGAGCTTTCTAAATAGTGCCTGAATAATATTTCACAGGTGTATGGCCTTGATATCAATCCGAGAGCCATAAAGGTTTCTTGGATAAACTTATATCTAAATGCTCTGGATGAAAATGGTCAACCTGTCTATGATGAGGAGAAGAAAACTCTACTGGATAGGGTGGAATTTCATGAATCCGATTTGCTAGCTTACTGTAGAGATAATCACATAGAACTTGAACGAATAGTTGGATGCATACCTCAGGTATTGCCATCTCTTCTATGATATTTTCTAGGGACTCTAATGAGTGAATTTATACTCTTATCTTTTTTTAACATGGTGGAAGTTTTTGTAGTCCATCCCATTGTTATTTGACAGTCAATGGAAGGATTATGTTTGTGTAATCACACTGTGTTATGTTTTCTCTGTAGATTCTTAACCCAAATCCAGATGCAATGTCCAAGATGATTACAGAAAATGCAAGCGAGGAGTTTCTTCATTCGTTGAGTAACTATTGTGCACTTCAGGTTGGAAGATATTCTAGTCATTTTGATGTTACTTTGTGAATATTTAGATTTTGTTATTCTATAAGCATTTCAAGTCTGCATGCCTAGGAATCTTACTGGCTTCCCTCTTTTGTAATTTTATGCTTCTAAATTACTTAATAAATTCACTTTGTTTAAGAAAAATATGTAGGCCATCTCTGGGCGCTGGACACTGCTAGCATTTTAACTCTTCGTAGTACTGTTTGTGGTTACATGTGATTTCACTCATCTGAATTTTTGATTCAATTTTTGTCACTTGAATATAAGATTTTCACAAAAGTTAACATTAAGATTAATACAAGGCATGTGACCTAGTGGTATCTTATTTCCTTTCAAAGCGGAAGTTGAAGGGTTCAAGACTCTCCAACTTTATGAGAGTTGTTTTCCAGGAAAAAAAAAAGTTAAAACCAATCAAGAGAACCAATGCAAGGTAAAATTTCAATAACTCGACAAACTGTGACATTTTCCTCCTTTCGTGTAAATGAGAAAGAGAGACTGCATGTGGGGTAGGACTGGTAGGGAGAAATAGATGAACAATGAATCCAAAGAGCTTTGTCTTACTTACACAATTAATTGCTATAAACAATATTTTACATGGGCCCATTTCATGCTTGCTCGTTAAGATCTCAGTCTTAAATATGCCAATTCCAGGCCCTTGTAGATGATATATTTTAGGCCATTTAGGGGGCTGACGAATTTATGTTGATGTACATAATGTTCCTTCTCTCTACATTGTCAGATGAATATATATATATATATATATATATATATTTTTTTTTTTTCTGTTTTTCTCTAATTAGGGCTTCAATTGTGTTTGGCCAAGGTCAATTTGTTGCGGCAGGTGTGAAAGAGATTGAGAAATACTGAATCCAAAAAAATATTTCCTAAATATATTGCTAAGGTCTTAATTTTAATTATTGGTATGGTTCTTGTTTCATGTGCTATAAATAGCCTTATATGCATTGAGTCATGACTTATGCATACTTTACTCCTCTTCCTTAACGCTCCATGCCTGATGCAACATTATTGATCAATGTGCCATTCTCTTTGTTTCTGGGTTACTGAAAGATGGAACAGATTTGTTACCTTTACTATATTGATCTAATTTTATAACTATTCTTCTTATTAGGGTTTTGTTGAGGATCAGTTTGGCTTAGGTCTAATTGCCAGGGCAGTTGAAGAAGGAATTGCTGTCATCAAGCCTATGGGAATTATGATCTTTAATATGGGAGGCCGTCCTGGACAAGGTGTTTGTAAACGTTTGTTTGAACGCCGTGGTCTCAGTGTTAATAAGCTTTGGCAGACGAAAGTTATTCAGGCAAGTAAACCCCTCCTTTCATGGAAAAAAGAACTTTTCCATAAAAAATGTACTCTTCCTGAAATCTCTTATTGCAGGCTGCTGACACAGATATTTCAGCCTTAGTTGAAATTGAGAAGAACAGTCCACACCGTTTTGAGTTCTTCATGGGGCTTGTTGGAGATCAGCCAATTTGTGCCCGAACGGCATGGGCTTATGGAAAGGCTGGCGGTCGTATTTCTCATGCTTTATCAGTTTACAGTTGTCAACTTCGTCATCCACATCAGGTTTGAACTTAGTCTGTATTCAACATTATGTGTGTTTATACAATTTGAAGGGGCAGGAAATCATATGTATACTGATTGTGGTAAACTGACAGGTTAAGGTAATTTTTGAATTTCTCAAAAATGGGTTCCATGAGATCAACAATTCTTTGGATTTGTCTTTCGAGGATGATTCTGTCGCTGATGAAAAGATCCCTTTCCTGGCTTATCTTGCCAGTGTTTTGAAAGAGAATTTGTTTTTTCCATATGAACCACCAACTGGAAGTAAACGATTTCGCAATCTCATTGCTGGCTTTATGAAAACTTACCACCATATTCCACTTAATGCCAATGTAAGAAACAATTATCTCTTGAACTCATCTTCTAACAATGCATTTCCTTAGCATTTTATTTCCCTTTATAAATGATTCAATTAATCCAATGGTTTACATCTATTGTTTCTATTATAGATGCTTGTGAGCTGTCTCTGCTCAAGTATCTTATTGGCCATGTTGAGTAAAGAAAAGCTGGGGCAAATGCCCCAATTGCAGGGTCTCTACCTGATGGAGCTCATTAATGATTATTTAGTTGAAACTCCATGAGATAGACATGTACGCACAATTCAGTACATATAGCTTAGACAAAACAATTGGCACAAAACAAACCTCCTTGAGTTATTTTCTAGCTTGGCACCAATTATAAAGTAAAAAGTCCAGACATCTTTCAGGGATTTGAAGACATGATTTGAGAATTGAAAATTAATAAAACAAAGAACTTTTTATTTATTCAATGTTTGACTGAAGCAAATGAATTTTCTGATGCTTTAAAAGTTTTATTCATACACTGGTCACTAATGCACTAAACCTGACACCCACTCAAAAACATTCTTGGCTTAATGGAAAGGGTACGCAGTGTATCATGGGTTTCATATCCAGCGTTGTCTCCAGAAGGTGGTATGAGTGACAATTGGATTCAATACATGAGTCCTGAAACACAGTTTATAGACTATTGTAATATTTATAGGGGTGACATTTGCAGAGAGATTAGAAAAGTAAAGGACCGAATGGTAGAAAAATTAACCTTCACTTTCCTTCCCCATTGACGGATGAATTGGAACTGGTAGCAATTCTATGGCTACACTTCCAAGCAAATATTTTATGAAGAGAAAAAATTAAAAAAATTCCTATACATGGGCTAAACATTTAAATCGTTTAGATAATAATTTACATAAAGTCGAAAGAATTGAGAGAATTATGAAGGATTGATGCACTGAGGGAAAAGGTGCATGTTGGAGTGTAGTCTAGTTGGAGGAAATATATAATAAAAACTATGAACCTTCCTCAAAGCTTGTCTTGCATCAAGCATTCCTCCAGTAGTTCTAGGTCTGCTCTCCGCGTTCAAGTGATCAACAAAGAGAAACAAAGTAATGATATGTGCATATATAAATAGATGTTCATGTAATAGCAGTTGATCATCTATTATAGCTATTTTGAAATCTTGTTGGCTACTTTTGTTATACTATGTTGATTTTATCATCATACTATATTGCAAATGACAACTCCAAAGGAAAAACCAGAAGGTTTGTATTGTGTCTCCACATATTGTTTATATGTATAGTCTCTGTGGTCTTAGCAAAAGCACATGGTTTAGTAATGTGTTGATGCATGGTTTGATTCATCTTTCATCAAACTGGATGGGTTTCCGCATCCGTGCATTGTTGTTATGTAGACACAAAGGTGTTTAATATCTTCTGGTTTCTAAGTGCTTGAAGCAAGCACTGCCGTATGGCTCTCCCTTTACTTTTATATATAAGCTGAAAATATGACTTGTATAAATTTGCAAAAATATTGTTGACAAATTACAATCTAATAGAGGTAAGTATCTCCAAGTTTTTGTTTTGTATATTTCAAAATAAACCTTTCTAAATGAACAACATTTCCTCTTTTTCAGGAGTACATCTGATTTGTTAGTTTACTTTTCGTAGTTCATAAAGTAAGGTGTATTCCTGATTTGCGTGTCCTCATTGTTCCAGAATGTCATTATATTTCCTTCAAGGGCTGTGACAATTGAGAATGCTCTTCGATTATTCTCGCCACGTCTTGCCATTGTTGACGAACATCTGACCAGATACCTACCCAAGCAGTGGTTGACATCTTTGACAATTGAGGTATGCTATCTTTGCGATGCTGTTAGACATCCATTCTTCAATCTTTTTAGTGTTTTATGTTAGAAAAGTGGATTTAAGTTTATATTATCATAAGTATTACTTCCAAATCATTCCAGTACTACCAGCATAAGTTTCTGTCTTCCTTGTGAAGAAAATTGCAAAAAATATGGTGCTTCTCTTAAGGAAAATGACATCCTTTAAATATCATTCCATTACCAAAAAAAAAAAACTAAATAAGAAAGATTGGGCAGAAATGAAATTAATTAACGTAACCTCATGTGTAGTGGTATTAATGTATTAGGAACCACCATCACAGTCAACAATATTGTCTGCTTTGGGGGTCCCCATCATGGCTTTAAAATGCCTTGTTAACATATGGTGTGTAGACACTTGTCTTCACGTGTGCGCCTTAAGACGCTGCCCCACCTGCACAACTCAAGTCCACACACTTCCAGTTGGGCATTTGCTCTGATACTATTTGTCAGTATCCACCATCACAGTCAACAATAGTCTGTTTTGGGGTTCCCTCACGGCTTTATGACCCATTGTTTTATGTTGTAGCAATGTCATGTGTGATAGTCTTGCTACATCTTTTTATGGGAAGTATTAGTCTTGATATACTAATTAAGCATCTCCCTCCATTAGATGCAACAAATGGGGGGTCCCACTTGTTCCCCACCTGTTACATCTGATGGAGGGAGAGGCCGACTTCGTCTGTTTTTTTCACTTCTTATGTCTCACTCTTTTTTCTTTTATTTTTTTGGCTAGTAAATTATCATTTTTGTAGCCTTTTCCTTGCTACTGTTGCCTCTTATTTGAAAGACTGCATTCAAGGCAATCAACTTTTTATATTGATTTCATTTGGCTGGTCCATAAATTTATACAATGTATATTGAAAATACCATATGTAGCACACACTGGACTTGACCCACTAATCATCATCTCATCTGGTGCAAAGCACGTGCATCTGAATGCTCTGAGGTTTGAATAGTCTACTGTTTGAAAGAGAATAAAACACCTATGCTTGATTCATAATTCTTCAGTAATTATAAAAAAGCTGAAAGAGTGCAACACATGAAAAGAAAAGTACTACCCAACTTTGCACAATGAGACTCGGAAAGGATAGTGTGGAGGGAAAAAAAACTCCCTCCAATAAAAAACGCACACGTCACCACTACCCATATCTACAGGCCAAGGACATATAAGGCCCATCATGCTCAAGCCCAAGTTGAGGGTATTTACAGCCCAAGACCATTCCATCAAGGCCGAATCAAGAAGCCATCAGCCCAGCTTGTCGTCAGCCCAGATATGAGTATTTAACATCCGGCCTGTTACCCAAGCCCAGCCGGATCAAAATATATTCAGCCCAAGAATGCACAAATCCTACCATTTGAAGAATTTACCGTAGAAGGAAAATTCGGATAGGAAGTTCTGTACAAGGCAAGTTCTATGTATGGAAAATTCAACAATGGAAAGAACTCTATTAGAAAAGAATGGTTATATAGAAAGAATTGGAGGGCAAGCAACGCGAGTCCTACCATAATTTTGCAATCTTTTGTATATAAATAGAGGCTAAGACCTCCAATAAAGAATCAAGCAATTCCACACTTCTCTACACATTGTTCTTATTTATTTTTATTGTTTTTGAGTGAGTTGTTTTATTTTTCTCAGTCATTATTGGTTGAGCGAAATTTTGCACCTACACTTTGGCGCCGTCTGTGGGAACCGTATAGAAATATACTCCCACTTGTTCTTCAAATTAAATCCTTTAATCGTGTCTGGAATGTCAAACGGAGAGTCAGTAATGAATCAACAGATAGAATTGATGCAAAAGATGCGAGAAGAGTTCTTGCACCAATTTGAGACACTCCGGCAAGCAAACGATACGAGTGTCGCCCAGATAGCTGCGCTTCAGCAGCAGACTCATACACTGCACACGGCCATGGCCAGGCTAACGCCACAACCACCACCAGGCGATGCTGCGGCACCACCTCCCACCCGGAATTTACCTCCGGTTCACGAGCCTCCAGCCAACGAGACACCACCCAACGGGGCTCGACCTAGTGAGGTTCAGCAAAAGCAAGGGACGAGGTCCGAGGCGGTTGCTTCGGATAATCTCCCGCATCGCACTCAGGACGAACAGGCCGAGTCCAGCCGTAGGCTTATGGTATGGTCCAATGGCGTTCCGGATGGCGCACGTGTACAAGATGCCTTCGACGAAAAGAAGCTCTTGAGAGTCCAGACACCAGCCGAGATGGCTAGAGAGCACAAGAATTCCTTGGTCAAGACCCCCTTTACTGACGAGGTGTACCTTGTGGAGAGGCCGAAGAAGTTCACTATGCCATCCTTCACCCAGTTCGATGGGGCAGGAGACCCCTCTCGGCATCTTGATCATTATGCGCAAAAGATGGCACTGGACGATCATAACGATCCGTGGATGTGTAAGGTTTTTCCTACCAGTTTAACCGGAGCAGCGTTAGAATGGTTCAGGAATAGGCCACACAAGTCTATCCCTGACTATGAGACCTTGTGCACCATGTTCTTAGCCCAGTATTGCGGAAATAAGAAGCAGAAGAAAAGTATCGCCAGCCTTTTCACCATAAGGCAAAGGAAGGGAGAAACTTTGCAAGATTTTTTATCCAGGTTTAACATGGAGGCCTCGGAGATAGCAGATTGCCATCCTGCCACGGCAATCGAAACGTTTAAGTTGGCGATGATCCAGGGAACCAAGTTTCACACATCCTTAGTCAAATATTCCCCCCCGGATATGCAGACTTTGAACGCTAGGGCACAAATCTACATCCGGTTGGAGGAAAACGTAGCCCACCGTGCACAGCACGCTACCCTCGTCACGGTGGAAAACAAGTCTCGAGAGAAAGCTGCGAGCACAAGGATGCAGAAGGTCCCTCATACCGCCACACAAGTCACCCAAGCGTCTGAGAAAAGGCGAAGGACAGAGGACAGGCTTACCCCTCTCCGTACTACCTTGGCGCGCCTATTCCAAGAGAATAAGACGAGGTTCGCAACTCCTCAGCCCATGAAGCAACCCTTGGAGCAGAGGGACAAAAGCAAACATTGTGCCTACCATAGAGATTATGGGCATACCACCAATGACTGCAGGTCCCTACAGCGACAAGTAGAAAGCATGATAGCGAGAGGAGAATTGGTGGAGTATCTCGCCACAAAGGAGCACGTAAGACCTCGGGAGGTTAACCCTCGACGGGTAGAGAGCGGTCAGGTAAAGGTTATCCATGCTATACACGGAAGGTCAGAGGATGATGAAGAATCTGAAGAGTTGTACAGATCCAGGCTGCGAGAGGCTCATAAGTTACGCAGGTTGTCTTCGGTAAACACAGTTGCACCAGGCAGCATCAACATTGGATTCGGTAACAATGACCTTTCTAGAGTCCAGCGCCCGCATGAGGACCCCTTGGTCATCAGCCTCCTGGTAGCGAATTACATGATCAGGAGAGTGCTGGTAGATTCGGGAAGTAGCGCCAACATCATTACAAAAACAGCTTTTGATCAGTTGGGGATTTCACCATCATCCATCAGGCCAACTTCCGGCCCCCTAATGGGATTTGATGGTACTAAGGTGAATCCGCTTGGGGTGGTCGATCTATCCGTTACTGCAGCAAAGAGAACTCTAAAGGAAAACTTCGTCGTGACAGAGATTCATCCATCTTATAACCTCATTATGGGAAGAGGTTGGATCCATCGTATGAATGGAGTCCCTTCTACACTTCATCAAGTAATGAGGTGTTTATCCCCGGATGGCAGGGAGGTCATCGACCTCTGGGGAGACCAGGTTGCTGCCAAAGAATGTTACATGCTAACGCTACACGAAGCAAAGAAAGCGTCAAAATCACCTCAGTCAGAGGCGAATCCCAAAGACGCAATCAAATAGCAGCTACAGTATCCTCTGCCCAAGTATCTCAAGGCAGAGGAAGAAGCCGAAGCTGAAGCACCTACCGAGGAGTCCCTCGAAGCTGTAGAGGTAGTCCTCGGAGACCCTCAAAAGATCACCTACATTGGCTCATCTTGCACCGCCGAAGAGAAGGAAGCATTGATCAGGGTTATTCGGTGCAATTCGGATGTCTTTGCCTGGGATCACTCAGATATGGTGGGGATCAATCCTACAGTCTCATGCCATAGTCTGAGGGTTAACCCAGAATTCAGGCCAGTCAAACAGAGGCACCGACGGTTTGCACCTGAACGCAATCGCATAATAGCCGAGGAAGTGAATAAACTGTTACAAGCAGGATTCATTCGAGAGGTGCAATACCCACAATGGCTCTCGAATGTAGTAGTCGTTCAAAAGAAGAATGGGAAATGGAGGGTGTGCGTAGATTATACCAACCTTAACAAAGCTTGCCCAAAAGATAGCTTTCCTCTGCCCAAGATTGATCAAATGGTGGATGCTACGACGGGTTATGAAAGGCTCACATTCCTCGACGCATACTCTGGCTATAATCAGATTCCCATGAATCCTGAAGATGAGGAGAAAACTGCTTTCATTACAGAAACGGGCACTTACTGCTACAGAGTGATGCTCTTCGGTCTAAAGAATGCCGGAGCCACCTACCAGCGACTTGTCAATAAAATTTTCAGTAATCTGCTGGGCAATACAGTTGAAGCCTATATCGATGATATGGTGGTTAAAAGTATACGGAAAGAGGACCACCCGAAGCACCTCCAGGAGGTCTTTGATACTCTCAAGAGATACAATATGAAGCTGAACCCCACCAAGTGCTCCTTCGCCGTTTCGTCAGGACAGTTCCTTGGGCACGTCGTAAATAAAAGAGGAATAGAAGTAAGCCCAGCTCAGGCAAAGGCACTCATACAGAACCAGGAACCGAAAACTCGCAGGGAAGTGCAAGTTCTAACCGGCCGAATTGCGGCTCTTAGCCGGTTCATATCCCGATTATCTGATAAGTATAAACCTTTCTTTGATGCTATTCGATCCAAAAACAAAGATATGTGGGGACCTCAGCAGCAGG